CCGCGTGAAAGACTGGTATCGAGGCTTCATTGTTTTCACAATCAAATGACTGAATGTTATCGTTCCAGATATATATATATATATATAGAGTTCACTGATTGAAGGCCGCCATCATAGCAAAGATTAGATACTATAAAGATGTGTCACTGCGAAAATTATGTCCGAGATTTTTTTATAGCCGCCATTTTGCCAGTAAGTGTCAAATTCGTCAAAATTCGTCATATAGCGCGAGCATCGCGATGGCAACCTATTGTATTCGTCTCGCCGCCATTTTGCCAGTAAGTGTTATGCACTCGTCATCTCGCGTGATCACTCGTGATCATCACGGAAAATTACGGACACGCAAACATTAGGGAAATACGTCGAGTGACACATCTTTATAGTATCTAATCTTTGATCATAGCAGTGCTCTCACTTTTAAGGAATTATCCTTAAAAATAGGAATTTTGAAGAGTTTTAAGGATTTTTTTAAGGAATTTAAGTTTTTAAGGATTTTTTTAAGGAATTTCCGAAACTTTTTATCCTGGACTAAAAACGTTGGACGGAGGATAATCACGCCACGCAAATGAGATTTAAACTTGAAAGTAGTAACATTATACGCACATAATTACATATATATTATTTGTATGTTCTCTATGTCATAAATATACATATGGCTGTCTTAACATTAATTAAAATTCTCAAAAGTTAAATGTCATTATTATACATTGTAGTTGGTAAAAGCTATTTGATTGGCTAAGAGCTTACAGTTAAATTGCGCAATCACGCAACCTACAGAAAATTCAGTTATCTCCTAGCAGATAACTGAGTTATCTGCAAATGAGCCTGCGATGATTAGCAAGCTGTATCTATTTAACACAAACAAATGTATAATAAAACAATGCTGTTTCTTCTGAAATCTACAGATTTTCTAAGCTCTTTATGCAACAACGATTAAAAATACATCATGTTGAATGTTTTGTAGATGGCACTATGCTAACAATCAAATTTTTTCAGTTTTTAGTGCGTAGAAAAAAGGTTGAAAAACTGAAAAACAGCAAAAAAGGAGAAAAAAAAACACTTTTTGCAGTAATTTTACCAATTTAAGGAATTTTAAGGAAATCTGAGGAATTTTCGAGCTTTTTCTAAGGAATTCGAAAATTCGATTGTGAGAGCACTGGATCATAGGCCGCCATGTACGTATGGAGTGGAAAATACGCCACCAAAAAGATGTCTGTTTTCGACCACTAAATAGCTGTATTTTAACAAGGAAAAAAGCTAAAAACTTTCAACAATACCTGAAATTTAATACAAAACATGTTTCCAGAACGTAGAG